ATATCTTTATTTAAAAAAAATTAAGGATATTAATAAATTTTTTAAATATTTTTTAAAACCATAGAAGAATATCCATAGGGGAACTTTTGGAATATATTTTTTTTTTTTAAAATTTAAGGATATTTCTTTTTTAAAGTTTGGAGTATTATTAAAACTTTCCAAGAAATTTTTAAGACAAAATATAAAAATTAAGAATATTTTTATTAATTTAGCCAAAATTTAACATCGACCCAGTTTAAATCACGAGAAGTAAGATGAGAATATAAGGTTTTAGCGCGTAGATATTCAAACTTTTAATCTTTTAATCGCGAGAGAACATGTCTTAATTAATTGAATCATGCTCATGTTGGCTTTTGGAGTAACAATTTAAACTTTTTACTATTTCCATCACTATTAATGTTTTACCAACTAAACTATGCTCGGGTGAAAGTTACCATAAAGTAAAAGAAAAAACATAATTTTGTTAAAAAAAAAAAAAACCCTAAAAAGGAAAGGGGAGGAGAGGGTAAATCCTAAAGAATAAAATAAATATGAGGATTAGATGAGAGGCAAAAAAAAGGCAACCGAAAAAGGAAAAAATAAATAAATAAAAGGAAAAAAAAAAGAAAAGAAAAGGGTAGGCCGGTCAGCTGGTGAGGTGGGGGCCGTGGGGCAGAGCTTCTCTGTTCCTTCTAGTCCACAAAAATGGAGCCTCTCACCCATTGATCCTTGACTCTTGATCCAACGGCCCAGGTTTCCTCTCTCTCCTCCGTTTCTCTCTCTACTCTTCATTTTTCTCTGTTTTTTTTTTTGATTTATTGCTATTTGGGCGGCACCACTATAGAGGTTTTCGGAACGCCCCCGTTTTGTTTCTCTCTCTATCTCTCTCTCTCTCTCTCTCTCTTCTCTCCTCTTTTTCCGTTTCCCTTTTCTTCCAATGAATCATAGTTGATATTGGGATTGCAAATCCACAACCCTTTCGTCCTCGGATCATTCCATACACGTTTTTGCACCTTTCTCCTCATCCCCTTTTCATCTCCCTCTCTGTTTCTCTCTTTGTCAATTACAGTTCTTCACCTTCTCTACTTCATCCCTCTTTGATTCATTGTTCTATCCTTCAGAATCGAGGTAGATGATTTCATATGTTTTTTCCCCTTTTTCGCCGTTTTTTAATCCTGGGTTTTGGTTCTTGCTTCGATTGATATCTAGGATTGGATTTTAGATGATACCCATCATGAGTTTGGTTCTGTTTTTTTGAAGAATTTATGGTGTTTTTGGTATTATTTGGGTGTTCTTGTTTGACCCCTTTTCAGGTTCTGACATGAATTTGATTCTCTGTTTTTGTTTGCTTGATGATGATTTTGTGAAATTTTCTGTGGGGTGTTGTTGTAAACTAAAGTTTAAGCTATTCATGGGGTTTTCTTTTGATGATTGAGCGTTCTTTTTAAGCCCTTAAATCACGGAGCTATATTGTTTTTATAATATGGAGTTGGCTTTTTGTGAAGAACAATGAAGAACAGCTTTATCCTGGAAAAAAAAAATATGATAACCTTCACTTTTTTGTGGGGATGGATTTTGATCACCTGACATATAGATTCCTTTTTCTTTTTATTTTAACTTTTAATCAAATTATCCTTGATTTGTTCCATTATTTGGATTAAATTGATCAAATTCTTCTTTAAATTAGTTCTATAGACTGCTGTTCATGAGGATATAATCATGGTGGAACAATGTCTTTATGTTTGAGAGTTAGGTGATGAAGGAGACCTGTTAGAACACGTTCATCATGTTCTTCGATGAAAAAAACGTTCAACTGTTACCAAAACTAGTTAGCTGTAGCTTTAGTTTCGTGTCGAGGTTAGAGCCATAAGGAATTCAGCAGTATTGGTGTGCTTATTTTGTTTCGGAGTTTAATGCTTGTTAGTTCATAGATTGACTGTCAAAATGATTAAATCTTAGTTTGATCAAGTACTGAAGCTTTATAGTCTTGTGGGTATAGTTTCTATTAAACGTTTTGTGATTTGGGTGTTAACGTTCGGTTAGCTGGTTTGTATGTTTGTATTTTAGATTAATCGTGAACTTGGAGTTGGATTTTCGGAGAACGTTGATCTTTATATCTTGATTTCGTCGCAGAGTCGAAGTATCGAAAAGTTATCGTAGATGGATGAATACACTAGTAAAAGAGTTGCTAATGGATACACATCCAGAAGGGGAAGCAGTGCAGTGTTGAGAGATACTGCAAATAACCGAGATCAAGACGGTAAATATTGTAGCCGAATTGGTTGCAGTGGCAGGCTAAACTCCCCGAAGGGCGCTCGGAGTAGCTATTCGGAGAAACTGAAATCTCCATTGCAGTCGTTTCGAACGTCTTCGAGTGGCAAAGAGATAGCTGGAAGTTCGTCTAGGACGTACTATGCTGTTCGAGGTTCAAAGAAGTCAGTATCTGAAACTCAGAGGAAACTGTCCACCCAATTAGAAACAGACTCTTCAGAAACTAGTAGCATTCAGGATGAGCCAGAGACGTCACATGTCGTCCCGTCGTCAAATGAACGAATACGAACAGAGCTTCGTGTTGGTCGTAAAAGTTCTGACTCTGTTGTTGACACGGTAATGGAACCAGGTAGCTCGAGTGTTGCACCAAAAGGACGACGGGACTTCAATAATCAAAGATCTGGGATGCGTAGTAATAAGGACACTCCGGCTAGTTCTTCTGTGTTGACGGGGTCGAAAAGTTCTCGCCCGACATCGCGTGGCGGTGCAGGTAGGCATAACTTGAGAAATTTCAGATGTAATTCAATATCTGATATCATTTTATCTGGTTGTTCTTCATCAGATTCAAATCTTAGTAAACGGAAGGATACAGCAAAAAAGAGGAATTCTGAAGCAGAAAGTAGTTCAACTACCAGAGGAAAAAAGATGAACGGATCATCCTCGGAAAGAAGGATTACGAGCTCTGGTTATGGTGTTTCTATATCCGATTCAAGAGGACCCAAAAACGGATCCTCGAACAGGGAGAACAGCGTTGTACCGGGTCGGTCTAGGACATCAATCAACGGGACATCACGAGCAAGAACTCATGGCAACAGACCCGACAGAAACAGTACATTGTTGGACGAGTCACGGTCCATAATTTCTCAGGTTTCGCAAGGCCAATCTGATAGCTCGATAGATAATAACGCTCATGATGTCTCTACTGAGTTGATTTCAGATCTCCCAATTTCTTACAGAAGATCTGATAGTATCAATGAGAATATGCTTAATCATAGACCTGCTAGTCCTGCAGAACTCGGATTGGCTCGTTCTTTAACGACTCGAGATAGCTTTCGACACTACGGTATTGCAGAGGTACGATCCACGTTATCGTTTCATTCGTTTTGTGACGTTCAATTGCTGATATTAAAAACTTGGATCATGTTTTTTAAGGTATTGTTGGCTCTGGAAAGGATTGAACATGAAGAAGAGCTAACATATGAGGTAGGCAGTTCTTGATGTTTTAGTATCATTAGTTCATTCATTCACTACAATTTGTTCTAACATTTAATCTTCCTTGCAGCAAGTAATTCTTTTAGAGACCAATCTTTTCCTCAGTGGCTTGAACTTCTATGATCAACATAGAGATATGAGGCTCGATATCGATAACATGTCGTATGAGGTGAGATCATCTAATCTCGATCTGAATCTATCTCGTATATTCGACCTTCGTGATGTTATGGACTGTTTCTTTGTGTTATTTATATGCTTCCCGTGTGTTGTGTCGGGTTATTCATGTATTTGTATTTTTCGACTCTCTTTTCATGGTTGATAGGAACTACTCGCTCTCGAGGAGAGAATGGGAACTGTGAGTACAGCGGTTACCGAGGAAGCGTTGTCGCAATGCTTGAGTAGAAGCACATATCGGTTTGGACATGTAGAGGATTTATCTGCAGGTGGAAGCGAGTATGAGGACGGTATCAAATGTTGTATCTGCCAGGTCTGTTTACATTAGCTGTTTTTTATATAGTTAAGAAAACGAGTGCTAGTGAGAACATTGGGCCCTGAAGGAGGGGGTGTATTGTGAGATTCCACATCGATTGGAGAAGGAAACGAGTGTCATTGAGGACGCTGAGTCTCGAAGGGAGGTGGATTGTGAGATCCCACATTGATTGGAGAAGGGAACGAGTGTCAGTGAGGATGCAGATCCCTGAAAGGAGATGGATTGTGAGATCCCACATTGATTGGAGATGGAAACGAGTGCCTGAGGACGCTGGGCCTCGAAGGGAGGTGGATTGTGAGATACCACCTTGGATCTCTGATATTTGCTAGCAGTGGACTTTGGGTGTTAGTAGATAAGTTTCTTGATCATCGACATTTTTGCAGCTGAAATCGGTTTGGTTTGGTTTGGTTTGTTTGCAGGAAGAGTACTCGAATGGAGATGAAGTCGGGACGCTGCGGTGTGAGCATACTTACCATGAAGGGTGCATACAACAGTGGCTGCGGCTGAAGAACTGGTGCCCCATTTGCAAAGCATCTGTGGAGGAACCTGCTTCAGCTTTGACTTCATAATTCGTTTGATTGTCCCTAAAATAAAGAATTAAAAAAAAAAAATAAAAAAAATAAAAAGAAAGAGAAGAGGAGGAGGATGTTTAATCTTCTCCCCTCACACAAGATTTATTGTACATAGAAAATCTGTTATATTTAAACCTACTTAATAAGCACAGGCAGTCTTCGGCTTTGAAGTCCGAACTCAGTGAATGAAATCGAAATCTCCCGTTCTTGTACTCCCGTCATAAATTTTCAATACTCTTATCTGAATTGTGAAAACCTACGTCTGTCGAAGTGAGTTACGAAACATTCTTTATAAGGATGTAAAAATCTTTCTCCAATAAAAGCGTTCTTAAACTACGAAAGTCAAAACAGACAATATCTGGTAACGGTTTCTTCATTTGATTCGAACAGATTGATTAAACAAATAAACGAATCAGAATCCAAATGAGGCTGACTATTGCATTAGAAATGTTGAAGTTTATGAACACAAATCTTTCTAAATAGAAATGCTATATATTTGATAGCATATGGATCTTTATATCTAACAAAAAACAAAAAAAATGTAAGCATGAAATACAGAAGATGGTATCTGCAGATTATTGTCTGTTGATGAGTTATTCATAAGAAATCAAATAAGAAAACAAAGATCTTACCCCAAGCTACAGAAACTGCATCTCTCTGCAAAATTGTGTATATTTCCTCAGTGATCTAAATATACATACAAAGCTCGAGATCTTCGAATCACGGCTAACACCAGTTCGGATGAGAAACGTAGATCAATCACTGGTGGCATTCTGACTGCCAGCATCGAAGCTTAGTCACAGTTAAATGATCGCCAAGAACAAGTGTGGATTTTGACATTCGACTTGCTCATCTTCTAAAGCCAGAACTTTTACCCACAGATGGGAATAGCTGAGAGGTCGTTGAGATCGATTTTCGATCCCTTTGAACTGTGATGAGACAATCAAACTGTGGAATGGTATAAATAGACATATCAGAGTCGTTTCATTTGTTGGATGCACGCAGACAAATTTTCTCCATTAGCAAAGGCCAGTCTTCCCCAAGTTGTTTCGGGTTAAGCTCCATTGCTAGTTTGAAGTCGAGCAACGATATCGAGCATTGTAATCTGTGCTTGTACGTAGCTTCACCATTGACATTGCTATGTCGTCCATGTAATTGATTATTAGGCAACAGGCCATTGATAACCCTCCCCTGAATCTGCTGCTTATGCGCAAGAGGTTTCTCAGGCTCATATGCAGGCCATGATGATCCACCCAAGTCAACACAAGACCGAATTAACTGCTTCAAATATACATCCAACACCTTATTCAAAATACTAGCACAATCTCCAGAAACACTGCCTAAGCCCTGTCCTGCAGCTATTTGTTCCATACGTCGTCCCAGCGACTCGGTATCCAACAAACGACCAATATCACTAATGCTAAAATCGCCCCCACAATCCACAGGTCTCGCTTTGCGAGCCCCGCCTATACTAGCTGAGCAAAAAGGAATCCCAAGAGGTGCAAGTAATCGACTCCGAAGTAAACTCAAGTGATTCGACTGTCCCGGGAAGACATGATGTCCTGCTGGTTGCTGAACACTAGCCTCGATATCGTTTTCAGGTAATCCAGCAACTCCCTGCAAATGCTGCACTGATCTCTGATAGTCACACAGAGTTGCAACGTCATTATCCATCGTGATTTTACAGCTTCCATCGTCCTTGCCTGCTGATTGATGCGAGATGCATTCAACCATCCCATTCGGTCTGTCCTTGAGTTTACGGTCACGAATCCCGGACCGGCTCTTTCTTGGAGACAATGGAAAACCTCCATTAGACCAAATGGGAATACTTTGAGCTGAAGTAGGTATTGGTGGTGCAGCCTTAGCTTGCAAAGCATTCTTCAAAATTGAGTGTATCAATTGATTATGCAGCCAAAGATTTTCCCTCCCAAGAACACGACAACATAGCTTATCAAACTCATTCTTACTCAGCTTTTGACTCAAGAACCTATTCAAGTAAAAGAAGTAACGTTTTGATCGATCGGTTCCGAGCTTCTTCACTATCTGAGATTTCAATTCACCCAAGCCAATTCTCAAGCTCTGCTGAGGTCGCATTTCTCAGCAGACAGAATCACACACCCTTTACAAAATCACTATTCAAATTCACCAAAAAAAGGAAGAACACAAGCACATACAAAGCTCTCACTCCCACATATATCATCAATCAATGCATATTAATGTTCAAGATCAGTATCATTTTAGCAAGTTCCTTAAATTCATCCAACCAGATCAAGGAAATCCCGAAATGGATATCAACAGAATTGCAGCAATCATATTTCCAATTGATCCTTCCTTTACCTAACTACAAATCGCAGCTTCTCAAAACCACAACCCTAGAAGTTAAATCCACTACATGGCTCACTAAATCCCGCCAAAATTTCAAAATCTATAGCAAATCAATCTCAAATCGAAACCCTAACTTCGAACAAAGAAATCCAAGTTCAGAACACACGAAAAAATTTCAACAACTAACGAAAATACGTATTGGCTCGACGAACCAATACAAACCGATCATTCTTTCAGCAGAATTCACAAGCTCGGAAGTTCGAAACACAAAATTTGGAAGTGGAAGAAAGAGATCAGTGATTCGCGCGAAGTTAAGTAGAGTGAACAGAGCAGAAATTGCAGAGATATGAAGCACATTGAATCTCGCCGACTAAGCTCAAAAGCATTTGAACAATAACGGCATAAGGATTTCTTGAGCTCTGACCTTTGAAGAACTTGAGGAATTGAAGAGAAATTGAAGCTGAATGGGTCGGTCCGAATCTTCGGAACATCGAACTATCGTTTGCTTCCCTTCAACTCCCGTTTCTCTTTCTCTCTCTTCTTTTTTTTCTTCTCTCTCTTATAATTTAGAATTTATTTTAGCGATTTCTTCGTTGGGTTTTTGTTGATTGTTATTCCAAGTGTTTGCTTCTGCGTAGCTATCTATATCTGCAATCTCTTCGCGTTCTTCCTCCTTTGCAGCTCTCTTCAAAACTTCCTTTTTTTTTTTTCTTTTTTTTTTAAATGTGAAATTAAAAAGTTTTTCGATTCATTTTTGTGGGTTTTTTTGGGTAAAAATGTGTTATTTGTAGATTTTTTAAAATTTTTGTGATAAATTTTATAGAAAGTTTATTAATTTATTCAATATTTAAATAATTTATTGCTATTTTATTTGAAAAAACGAGTATGTTTATTTTGGGTCAGTTTCACTATAATTCAATAATTGTTTAAATTAGATGTTATAATTTTCACATTATTTTATTTAAATAATCTGTGTGTATATATATATATGATAAATGACTTTGCCATTTAAGCTATTAATTTGATATATTTAATAAAAGCAATATACTTATTTTTCAATTAAAAAGTAGCATATTAATTTCCTTTTTATTCCGCTAAAATTGAGATCTAATATAATTTATTTATTTTTAAGATGAATATATTGATGGTGAAGTATATTTATACGATAATATAACTTAGAATTGATCTAAGACTAGTGTTGTAGAGCACACAGCTCCATTATTTCTACTAGCTCAACTATATTGTGCAGAAGACACTTTACAAACCATAAGCTTACCAGAAGGCTACAAAATACTTCCTTTCAAATTCAAATTACTATAACACCTTTTTGAACCAACTTAATGTTGGAATGATCAAGTTTATTATAACATAGTATTTTAGACATGTAATATGAACCGGGCGGAAATTTGGTGGGTTAGAAACAAAAACGATGAAAATCTCTCTCCACTCCCTCCCTAGCTATTGCACATTTAAATGGAGATTTCACATCCTATTCGGGATAGTTCTTGGTCCTATTTGCCCAATGGGTATGCTTTAGTTGCAATGAAAATGAAATCAAGAGAGGGCAAATGGGTTTAAATCTAAAAAGAAACCTCTTAACAACATGAATTGACAGAACAACATAAGATAGGAAGGAAATAGAAAAAGAAAAGCAGAATTAATAATACATGAAATTTGTTTGATTATGGTATTCATAAACCAACCAAACCACCAGGATATGCCATTTCTCGTTGCAGTTGCTTAATAAGAAATAACAAACTCTCTGAAGTTCGAGACTACAAACTTCTGAGCATAAAAACGAAAAGGGTTTTTTCCCCCAACAACTTGTAATACAAAGCTTATATCTAACTTACCCGTAGCAGCAGATGTGGATTTTTGCGGCTCTTTAAACTGTATAGTGTTGTTGGATTGTGTCAATGTCAAGTCCTTTCAGCTTCACTACTGATTCGACATGCCCCTTTAGTGTGTGCAATTCTCGGAGCCTGCCCAGAGCCATAAACAGTGTTTATTTTAGGACCATTTTTCGAATGCTACTTAATTATTAGTAAGATAGAGAGAGAGAATGGGCGAGAAGGTCACCTGGCAACCTCAGCACGGCGCTTGGCTTGCTCTGCAATCTCTGAAAGCTCCCTGTAACTACTTTTCTCTGGGAAGAGATTGGAGTTCTCAGGTGGTTGTAAGCCATGTAGGGTCCTCTGTGCTGCTGCCCACTGTGCTTCTCTCTCTTCTTTCCCATAGTCCTTTTTCGTTGTGAACGCAGTCTGTGTAATTCAATGGCAAGGGACCAATAATGTAAACACAGTCCACAATCCAAAAACATAAATTTGTACGGTAACTCATAGACGCGATCCGTCAGATCACACATCAATGGGAGAGATGAACGAATGACAGTGAAATCGTTGGGCCAAGAAGAAGTTGGATTATGAGATCTCATATCGATTTGGGAGGGAAACGAAACATTACGTGTAAACCTCTTTTTGGCAGATGAGTTTTAAAAACCTTGAGAGAAAGCTCGAAGAGAACAACACTTGCTGGCAGTGACTTGGAACTTGTTGAATGGAAGTCACACCTCAGCTGATTTAGGAAATGTTCATGAGTTTATAATCAAATAGTACTCTCTCCATTGGTACGAGGCCTTTTGGGAGCCCAAAGCAAAGCAATGAGAGCTTATTCTCAAAGTAAACAGTATCATATCATTGTGAAGAGTCGTGTTCATCTAATAGAACTGTTACAAATGGCATCAGAGTCAAATATCGGGCGATGTGCCAACAAAAACGTGCGACCCGAAGGGGTGGATTGTGAGATTTCATATTGATTGGAGAGAGAAACAAGTGACAGCGAAGACGCTGGGTCCCGAAAGGGTAGATTGTGAAATCCCACATTGATTGAAGAGATGAACGAATACCCACGAGAATGTTGGGCCCAAATGGGTGGATTGTGAGATCTCACCTCAATTGGAGAAGGAAAAAGGAAATAAAAGGGAATAAGTTTGGGCTTGGACTCACTAGATCAAGTTGAGACATTTTATAGACATAATTTAATAATTTGGTTGTAATTCTTTTTTGTCAATGAACTTAATCCAATCCTAGTAATTAAGAAAAGAAAACATACCTTGTTCTCGAGAAGTGTGTCCCAAGCCTTGCCGCTGTGAGCATACCGGATTCCAAATTTCAAAATATCGAGAGGGATATACGTTACGATGCTATAGAGCCAGATAACACCAGCCCAACCCCATCCCATTCCTTTTATCCTTGCAAACTCCCAATTTGCATAAACAGCTATCACAGTTGCCACCTGTCAGTTATATTAGCTGACATCAGCACATCTAAAACCAAACCAAACCTAACTCATCTTTGATGTGATTTCAACGTCTCCTTACCAGCTGAGCAATGATGAAAGCTCCGACAAGGAGCAGTCCAGGACGTTCCATAAACGACCAGCTGCGAGACCTTGTCACAAAAATAAGTGCCTGACTTATTATGCTCACTTGTAGGTACAAGGCCGCCATCAATTCTTGAGGACTGTCTCTCAAGGGTTTCACATGAAATTTTTCCTTCATAAATTAATGCAAACAAGACCCATCATTAATAACCCAGATATTATGATATATTTGAATGTTTCATTACAAGAAAGTAAAAGAAAATTCTTACGGAGAAAAAGTTGGTATCTTTGACGGCCCAAAAGAATAATACTGTCATTAATGCCAAGTATCCTCCAAGGACAATGCCTGTTCCAAAAATCTCCTTTAGTTTCCAACTATCAGGCTGCGGAGATGGCTTTACTCGATCCTTTGAAATTGTCATAATTGTTCCTTCAGGTAAAGCACAAAAGACAAATCAGAAGCTTCATCCTAGCAAGTGAATAATGGTTGAATTTCTATTCGTGTGAACTTACCATCATTCAGAATGGCTATGATTAAAACCATGAAGGGAGCGAAGTCAAACTTCCAAATCAAAGCAATGAACATGAATCCAAACTGCAACATCCAAAGTTTGTACAAAGAAACAGTGTTAGAGATTACAAGAATTGGGTCGTGTAATTGATATCAAAACATGTTCCATATTCACTTACCACTATACGAATGGTAATCGAAACTGCATAAATCTGCAGAAGAGAGAAATAATTAAATCACATTAAAAAAAGAACAAATCGAACGAAGTACTTGTTAGGATTCACGACTCTCCACATTGATAGGATATTGTTTACTTTGAACATAAACTCTCAGGACTTTACTTTTGGTTTCCCTAAAAGACGTCATACCAATAGAGATATATTCCTTACTTATAAACTCATAATCTAGAGAACTTGTAACTCACTCCCAACAATACTAAAAAAAAAAGTGAACTAACCGTGTAATTCTTCATCCTCTGAAAGATAGCCCTGCTGGTTAGCACGGCACTAATAATTACACTCAATCCTGGTTCTGTAAGGACTATATCTGAAGCACTTCTAGCAGCATCAGTAGCATCAGCAACAGCAATTCCAATATCTGCCTTCTTTAAAGCAGGAGCATCGTTAACACCATCTCCTGTCATTCCACATATATGCTTCCTTTCCTGCAGCCTTTTCACAATCTCATATTTGTGTTCTACACAATGCAAAAGAAAATAAAATATTAGGAAAGCAAATGGGAGTAATCTCTTAAAAACAAAAGAACTACTAGAAATCACGACTCTCTGCAATGGTATGATATTGTTAACTTGGAGGATAAGCTCTCGTGACTTTGTTTTTTGCTTCTCCAAAAAGCCTTATACTAATGGAGATGTATTCCTTGCTTATAAACCCTTGATCAATCGCTTAATTAGCCAATGTGGGACTCCCCACCAACAATTCTCGACAAGAACATGAAAGCAAAGCCCACCTGGAAATACTCCTGCAAATCCATCTGCCTTCTCAATCAACTCATCCACAGGAAGTGAAGCAATAGATTCATCCTTGTCTTGACCAAGTAATGAAGAAGAAGGGTACATATTTGTTCCCATGCCAAGTCTACGCCCTGTTTCCTTGGCAATGGCAAGTTGATCCCCTACGCGTTTCAAAGAACTTTACATGAATTAATGAATTACACGAATTGGAAATGTATTGGCCAAATCATTCTTTTTATATATACCAGTAATCATCTTGACATTTACTCCGAGGTTCAGAGCTCTTCTTATGGTTTCTGCACTATCGTGCCTAGGAGGATCAAATAGAGGCAACAAACCCACAAGCTGCCATGGTCCTCCATGGCTCTCTTTTGATTTTTCAGGTACTTCCTACGTAGATGTTAAAAGAGTAAGATAAGCATTCAATTCAATAGGAATAGGAAAGCTATAAACTCTAAAAAGACCTGTCTTGCAACACCCAATGAACGAAGTCCACGTTCTGCAAACTTGTCAATCACTGCATGAACCTTTCTTCTAATGTCTTCCCTGGAGTTGCAAAGATTTAGGATCTGCTTGAAAGAAATTTGCAAGATGATCAGTTACTTCACTAAACTTCCAAGAACTGCTAGTCTTAAATGGCTGTTACCTGCTCAGGAGCGCCTTTGCTTACTCGGTGCCAATGTCCATCGGAGTCAATATAGGTTAAGGCAGTTCTTTTGTCGACAGGATTGAATGGAAGGAAATGAACCTCCCTAATTCCTGCTCGTGCCTGAAAAGTTACACTATACAAGTAATATGAATCTAATGTCCAGATCTTGGTTTAAGAAAGGAAGATCAAATGCAGCCAA